TAAATAAATAAATAAAATTTGGGGGGTAGGGCTCATATTATGAGCATCTTGAAAAATCATATTAGGGCTTATTTTCGGGGATAGAGAATAACTGTAGTCAAGCCTCAAATCGTGTGATAAACTGATAAGTGCTAACTGCCCTTCTACACATACAGTAGATGTTTGTGTAGTGAATGATATTCCATATCCTTATTCTCAAGGTATGTAAGTAAGAAACAGGTGCCTGTTGTTCCAGCCAGTGTATCAGAAATAAGTGATATTTATGTTTGTTTGCCCGAGTTACCCAGCATTCAGGACCACAATAGAAGCAGCATAAACTGGGCAACAGTAACTAAATTTGGGTACAGTAGTGCCTCGCAAGACGGGCGCTCCGTTTAATGACGAATTCATATTACGATGAGGGTTTGCGATCACAAAATGATATTTTGAATGGGGGAATTTCGCTGTGCTATGATCGGTTCCCTGTTTCAGGAACCGATTTTCGCTTCCCGATGATCAAAACAGCTGATCGTCAGGTTTGAAAATGGTCACCAGGTGCTCAAAATGGCTCCCTGCTGTGTTTAGGAGCCATTTTTCACTGCACAGGCACCCGAAAATGGCCGCCCCTATGGAGGATCTTCACTGGGCGGTGAGTTCTTAGCCGATTGGAACACATTAACCAGGTTTTAATACATTTCAATGGCTTTTTAATTTTCACTTTACGATGTTTTCGTTCTACAGCAATTTCGCTGGAACGAATTAATGTCGTAATGCGAGGCACCACTGTACTCAATTTTTCTGTGTTGCAGCTTTTAAACATATAACAACTATGCCTTGAAAATGTGGGCAACCTTAAACAGAAGTATCACAATTAATGATTCTTCATTCATTTTATGTTCTCCTTGTAAATTGATTCCCAGAATTTACCGTGTCAAATTCCAGCTGGAGTCAATTTGACCTCAGCCTCGAACCACATTTTAAAAAATACTAAAATAAAAAATACTGTGACATTTGGAGCCTTTGGGGGAGATAATGCACAGCAATTAAAACCAGCAATTGAGATGAGGGCATGTGAACAAGGTCATTCTGCTCTTCTTAGCACATAAAGAAATACTTGTGGGATTGGTAATCCGTTGCTCAGGCATACTGTGTCCTCAAAGGATTCCATTTGTGAACATAAACATGCTACTCTGGCATGTCATGTTTCCCTAAATAGGACCTCTTCTATAGGATTCATGGCTCTGATACTATGATGATAGGATGATTTGATTTGTCCATCACAAAGCCTGAAGATCACACATCCATTAATGGAAGAGAACAATTTTCTGGTAGCAGTCAGCTGGTAGTAAAATACGGAAGTTTTTTTCAAAACAGTAACAACTTGTTAGCAGGCTCATTCCATCCTGAACTATTATTTTCATCTTGTTCTGGCTTCAGGGGATCTTTTCTTGAAATCTTGTTTAATGACAAATCCTCTAATTTTTCTTATGCTTAAATGAGCTGCTTTATTTTCTCCTTTAAGCTGTGAAATCTGTGACAGAGAGGAAGCTAAATATCGGTGCCCTCGTTGTATGAAATATTCATGCAGGTAGATATAAAATTAATTTTTTTTTCTATTCTTATTATGTTGCTGAGAACAGAGTGACATTTCTCCACTTTTTGTGTGCTTTCAGTTTGGCCTGTGTGAAAAAGCATAAAACTACGTTTAGTTGTAATGGAATCAGAGAAAAGACAGCATTTGTTCCTGTGAATGAGTTCAATGACTTGCATCTTCTCAGCGGTAAGAGTGTTTCTGGAAATCTCAGGATACTGTTGAAAAGGTGCTTATGGAGTCTGTTGCAGACAGTGATGTTTATCATATATTTGTTCTCCATGCATTGAACAATTAAGACTAGAGGGTTGGTGCTGTTATACTAGCAGTTAGAAGATAAGTACTTTTTAAGTTTCTTCCCCACTAACTTTGTTTTGAATTGAAACTTAAACATCGCTAGCATTGACAAGTGTGTAGTTCCACGGAACTGTTAAAGTAGCGTGGAGAATGCAAAGACTCAGTAGTAGCTTGCGGTTATGTAAGTGGCCAGTAGACTAAGTGCTCTGAATCTTACATACATACATACATACATACATACATACATACATACATACATACATACATACATACATACGTGTGTGTGTGTGTACACACACACATTCTCATCTTTAAAAATGTAGTCTTTGTAATTATGTGTAGCACTTATTCAAAGCAGTAAATAGGATCATTTTAGCACTGACAGGTCAGCTTTTTTTTTTTACTGTTTCTTTATTTATATATATAAAAGTGTTTTATATATATATAAAGTGTTCATCTATGTATATCCCCACTTTCTGTCTCAGATATCCCCAGGTGGTGTGGATCCAAATTAAGCTGTCAGTTAAAAGGCATATCTATGTAATTGTAGTCTTTGTAATTATGTGTAGCACTTATTCAAAGCAGTAAATAGGATCATTTTAGCACTGACAGGTCAGCTTTTTTTTACTGTTTCTTTATTTATATATATAAAAGTGTTTTATATATATATAAAGTGTTCATCTATGTATATCCCCACTTTCTGTCTCAGATATCCCCAGGTGGTGTGGATCCAAATTAAGCTGTCAGTTAAAAGGCATATCTATGAAACAGGTGAAAATCCTGTTCTGTAATTTACACTAGTGCAAGGTAATGAAGTTATAGGTAAGGGGCAAGTTCAGTAATTAAAAACTTCCTACTTCTGTCCTCCACCTTTTCTGATTCCTTTGTAATCCCTTTCGTCACTCTGGAGTTGTGGGACAGAAGGCGGAAGTCTTTAATTACCAAAAATCTCCTTCTGACAGCACCTTTTGGTAATTAAAGACTTCTTCCATCCATCCCATGGCTTTCAGGCAAGGCAAGGGACTATGCAAAAGTTGGATGATTCGCGAAACAGAAAGTTTTAACTTACAGAAAATTGCCCCACACCCATAACACCATCACTGTTCCACAGCCCTGAGTTACACAAAAGGATTTCAGCCAGTTTTGGTATTGCAGTTTTGGCATGCATGGCATGTAATGTGTCGCTTTCATGCCACCCATGAAATTCCTGCATTGAGGATGTGACCACCAGTTCCATTCATACTTTTTTAAAACCTGTATTCAAATTCTCAAATTCTCTGTTAGCTGTTTTATGAAGAGTACAGTATTGTATCAATCTAATCTATAGTAGTAATAATAATAATGAAAATAATTTTAAAAATTGTTAATTTCAGATTATCGGTTTCTCGAAGATGTGGGAAGACTGGCAGATTGTGCTGCTCGAGATGATACTTCACATAGACCAAAAACCAATAAATTTGTAAGTATGCTTAGCATCTTTGTTCAGACTGCAAGCAATAAATGTTAGTTTTCTATTACAGTGGTGCCCCGCATAGCGACGATAATGCGTTCCGGAAAAATCGTCACTATATGGATTCGTCGCTATGCGGAACAAAGAAGCCCATAGGAATGCATTAAAACACCTTTAATGTATTTCTATGGGCAAAAAACTCACCGTTCTGCGAAAATCCTCCATGCGGCCGCTTTTTTCGCTGCCTGGTAAGCGAGGAATCCAGGCAAAAACACAGCGGGCAGCCATTTTATTTACCCGGCGGCCATTTTGGAACCACCGATCAGCTGTTCTTAAAACATCGCTATGCAAAAATCGGTAAGCGAAACACTTACCGATCATCGCAAAGCGATGTTTTACTATTTAAAGCATCGCAATGCGATCGCAAAAACGATCGCAGAAAAACACATCGCTATGCGGATTCGTCGTTAAACAAAGGGCTCATTATGCGGGGCACCACTGTACTTTTTAAATGTAATACTGAAAACTTAAAGAGAAAAAAATAGGATATTGATAAGGTTTATGCCAGTAAATTCTAAAACACAGTTCAGAGAGCTAAATATTTAGAGCTACAGTGGTGCCTCGCATAGCGACGTTAATCCATGCAGCAAAAATTGCTGCTAAGCGATTTTGTCGCTATGCGATTTTAAAAAGCCCATAGAAACGCATTAAAACCTGTTTAATGTGTTCCTATGGGCAAAAAAACTGACCTTAAAGCGAAGATCCTCCATACGGCAGCCATTTTCGCTGCTTCTTAAGCGAGGAATCCGTCCCTAAACACAGCGGGGGGCCATTTTTTTTACCCGGCGGCCGTTTTGGAACCGCCGATCAGCTGTTAAAAAATCATCACTTTGCAAAACAGGGACCCGATCATCGCAAAGCGGAAAAAACCCATTAAAAACATCGCAATGCGATCACTTTTGTGATCGCAAAATCTTCGTTTTGTCGCAAAATGGAGCACCCGTTAAGCGAGGCACCACTGTAGATTCAAAACCCAAATCCAGTTCTTACTGCCAAAGGAGATGAATAAGTGGGACTTTCCTAAGTGTTGGTTTTAAGGGGATCTAAGAATTGGATTTAGCTGAAAAAATGATGATTCCATCTAAACTTTAATGTTTTGAAAAAACGTTGGAGAAGGAACTTTTCAAGCAAAAATACATTGAGGAACAATACAGAAATGCATATAAAAAGTTGTTTAGCATTTGTAGTGTGTCACAGACAGTGATACGTCACCGGGGACTAAAGATTATTTGTACTATGGTGTTCCCAGTTATTGTGTATTAATTTGAAATCAGTGAAGAAAGCAGACAGGAAAAAAAGTGATTCACTGTAACTGTGGTGCTGGAGAAGGGTTTGTGGCTACCATGCGCTGCTAGAAAGTCAAATAAGTATGGTCTAGATCAAATCAAGGCTGAACTCTCATTAGAAGTGAAAATGACTAAATTGAGCCTATCATACTGTGGATAATAGGGATAATGAGACTTGTAGTTCAAAGCATTTGGAGGACATCAGTCTAGGTAGCATCTGTGGTGACACCTCAGTCGCCTTAGAGTCCAACTTGTGAAGACTGAGATTCCTACTAATCCGGGGTGGGCAACCTCAAGAGGAATGGTGCCTCAAATTCTTATTCTGTAACATATACCCTACCCTCATTTTTTAACAAAACAAAACACTTTTTACTGGGGAGGGGACCCTTGCACCTTTTATTGCTCAACTTTTAAAATGTGGTAGCAGAGGGCCAGGGATGACTGGGGACCTACACATGTTGCAGAATTGGCCAATACACCTCTTTGAGGACACAGGGGAACATTTGAGCCAAATCTAAAAAATAAAATAAAATTAGAAGGTGTGGGACTGCTGGGGGCCTCCAGTGACCCCAAGGGAGTGCATTTGCCCCCCCCTCAGCGACTGCATGCAGTTTGCAATTCTCATGTTGCCCACCTCATTCTGATTTCTTCCAAGTCCAGCTAGAAAGGTGACATATTTAAGGGGCCCTTCCCTGCCAAATCTGCTTCCTCAGTTGACTCCCTGCAGCCAAAACTGCTAGCTCCAGCAAAACTCTCTGCATCCATAGGCCAAGAGCAAGCGATGAACTTGGGCTGACTGAGGCTCATGGAGTGAGTTACTCCTCTTTAGCTTGCAGAAGAAAAGGCACAGTGAAGGTTTTATTTATTTGATAAATACACACTTTCTACTTAAGTTTGCCTTTAGAAATAAAACATTTTAGTGAGTAATGCCTTGTCGTTTCCATTATCAAAATCATCACAGTCTTGTATATTCAGTTATAACAGTCATAATACTGTACATTGTAATCCATTTTGTTCTTCAGATCAGACAACAGAGAACTTAAGGAAAGTAAATGCAGCAGTGTCCTGCATTAGAGGGATAAAAATAAGATAATTGCATTCCTTAGGGAAGAAGTGGTGATCTGTTTTGCCTTGATTGTTTGTATCTTAGATTTTATGACTTGAGTCAAGGAACTGCAGCTTCTTGGTTATGAAGGAGTACAGGAACAATTTTAATGAAGGCTTGCTTTACTCATGTAGGAGGAATGTCCTCTTGTTTCCATCCTGTCAAAACTAAACATGAAAGAACAGCATCTGACAGTCTAGTTGTACTCTGTTGATTACTAGAGAATCAGTACAAAAGCATCAGTGCATTTCTGTGTTTTAGAAAAACAGAAACAAATCACCAATTTAGCTTGCTGTTGTAGTAATTTTGTAACAATTGCAGGATTTATACACGGTGGAATAAGATTGTTCTTGTAATTAACCATTGCTCTAAATGGGCATATAGGCTACATGTCACAAAACAGATACGAGAATTTTGTAAGCAACTATTTTTATTTATTTATTTATTCATTCATTTTATATCCCGCCTATCCTGCCACTCTAACCTACTCTAGGCGGCTACAGTACTGTCCATTGTACTCTTTGGAAGATACTTGTTTTGCCTTTTTCCCCATTTAAAATAGAGTGAACATCTTTTTGCCCTAAAGACATTGTTAGTTTCCCAATCTCATCATCTCTTACTGTTGCTTGCGTTCATTGATACTGATGGGAATTGTAGTGCAGCAACATCTAGATGGCAACAAGTTGGCCACCCAACCCCCTCCCTGGTGACTGTAGTTGACAGAAGCAGGAGATGTGTCTTACAGATCACCTCAGTCTTAAGTGGAAGTAGTTGGAAAAGTGCTTGGACCACTTACACTTTATTCAGACACAGCTATTTGAGAGCAGGGCCTGACATTTTAGTGGTTCACGTGAAAGCACAACAGATTTACAGTTAGCATAAACTATGAAGGAAATAATGAAGTGGATGTGAAGGGAGTGTGTGATTTCTCATTTATAGCAGCAAGAAAGGACTAGAGAGGTAGCTGAGCTCTCTGGTAATTCAACTGCCTGATTTTAAAGTCAAGCATTCTTCTTAGCAGCACAATCAATGATAATTCTGGTAGTACCTAAAACTAATTATTAGAATATAGTTTAGAATAAGAAAAATGGGAACATAAATGGCAGTGTTAACTAAGATTTCAATTCTCATTGTTACTAAAATATAAATCCTATAAAAAACAATTGGATTTACTTGCACTTAATGGTATAATTGTGGACTTGCTGCAATGTGCTGTCGTTCTGATCTGTACAAAATAATCTGGACTTTAAACTGTTCAGACCTAACGCTAAATTACAGTTTAAAGCAATGATTCCTAACCTTGGGTCTACAGACAGGCTGCAACTTCCAGAAGCCTTCATCATTGTGCTGAACTCCTGACTTGTGTTTATGGCCTGCATTTTGAAATATAAGACAAAACAAGAACAAGAACAAAAAGAACAACCAAGAGACAAAAAGGTTGTGAGATCTTGGAGCAGTGGTTCCCAACCTTGTGTCCCTAGATGTTCTTGGACTAAAACTCCCAGAAGCCTTCATCACAAACTATGCTGGCCAAGATTTCTGGAAGTTATAGCCTGAAAACAGCAAGATCAGGGTTGAGAACCATTGCCTTAAAATATTTATTTATTTATTTATTTGATTTATACCTCGCCCATCTGGCCTGATCGACCACTCTGGGTAGCAAAATACAGAAGCCTCTGGCTTGCACTGTCCTTGCATCTTCCATCTGACATATATCCTTTGATTTGTATTCGTGCATTGAGCAAGGGGTTGGGCTCAATTGCCTTACAGTCCCTTTCCAATTTCATTATTCTTTGATTCTAGAGCCATGAGGTGACTGAAAGCTTCTGATTTGGATTAACCACAGTTTAGCCAGCTGTCTAAACTGTAAACTGCAGTAAGGCCATAATATGATCTGTTGAAATGAGCTAGCTTCAAATACTATGATTTGAAGTTGACTTGTAAATCCAGTATCCACATCAATGTTCAGATATCATAAAGCTAGAGGCTATCTAACTTAAAAGTTTACATTCTCCTTGCAGCTTTACTGGAGATAGAGAAGTAAGGTTAGAAATCTAAGGCTCACTGTGTCTTGTCCTACAACTCTGGACCATGATATAGCTATGCCCAAATAAGCCCATTCACTCAGAATCCAGGTTGTCAGTAATTCTTTTTCTTTGTCTTTTGAAACACATTTACTTTTTCTGTTAGGTCCATTTTTTGAGAAACCGAGCTCGAAAGCACAGCATCCAGCTACAAACTTTACCAATTGGATTCACAAAGAGGCGAGAGAATTCTACATTCTTTAGCAATAAGTAAGTTTCTGGTTAGAATCAGTGTGGAATAGTTTGGTTGAATTCTTCATTGTGGATTAGATCTCCATGGTTTGCAGCCCCTCTTGCAGTTAAATCCATTCCAGTTGCTCAATACATTGACTCAGTTAACTTGTTTGTTTGTATACATAGGACTTTCAGAAAGCATATGATGTTTAGCAACCGGGACCCAGAACAGATAGCTTGCAGGTCCAGAGCTGGTTAATTCATTTCTAGATATTCCTGTCATGCGCTCAATTGTAAATGACGAGCCACAATTCCATATGGCTGATGTGTTAAACCCATGGAAATCTAACAGTTTGAATTTGCTTCTGTGTATTTGTGGTGTTTCAAATGTTTTTCTTAATGGTTTGTCATTAGTTTTTCCTTTATATTTTGTATGTGTATATCTATCCTTCATATTGTGTAAATATGAGGTCCTATAATGAATGTCTCAGTAACGTGAAAGACCCTGTATTGGACTTATTAATGATGCATCATCACCTTGCACGAAGGTGATGCTGACTTGAACAAATGGTGGTTCTCTGACATGGGGGTGGGGATGGCTATGTTGACATTGCAGTCACCCTTGAAAGATTTTGAGTCGGGGAGCTTGGCAACTGATTTATATCTATGGTTTACATCTATTTAATTGTGCCTGGACAGGTGACATTGCCGTTGCATAAGACAGTATTGATTATATAGAAACTAAGAAGACTTGGATGATGTGGGCGAAAGTTTTGTGACATCTTATTTATAGATAGCAGTAGCAAAGGAAGATGAAATTTCAGCTATGAACCAGTAGATGTCTCTCTTGCAAAATGTTCACAAACAAGATACATGTACTGTATTGTATTAATATGCTTGCAGAGACTAATTAGCAAGCCAGCCTGCAGAACCTGTGCTTCTGCTTTTACTGTATGTCTTCTTAGCTACTAATAAACAATCTGTTTTTTGATATAAAGGACCAGAAGAATATGTGAAAATGTTACATGTGTTTTTGAAATCCAGTCTGCAAAATATGGTCTTGCAAAGCATTTGTTTATTTGCATCCTTCCAAAAATATAGAAACGAGGCCCTAGCAACAGTGCTCACCTAGCTCCTTAGACTTTGGACTATTTGTGTAACTTGCAACAATTTCACTGAGTGAATATTGATCCAAGAAGAGTGTAGTCCTTGACACTGATGCATGCATTAACAAGCAAGTGCGAACTTGTTAATTTCTCAGTGGCTGAAATCCTATAGTGCTGCTATGCAAAAGGCCTAACCGTTGGAGGTGAATTGCCTCAAATTAAGGTGAATTGCCTCCACAGACATTTGGTGCATATGGAGCTGTGCAACTCATCATGAAACATAAATGTGTGTGGATATTTTTTTAACTTGAGGCAGTTTATCTCCAAAAGTGATGTCTTTTGCGTAGAAGCGCTATAGGATTTCAGCTGATATCTTATGTAAATGATGGCTTCATCCCATACACTCTTCACAAACAGTTCCATAGTGGTACCAACAAAACAAAATAGGAGAATAAAATTATATTTATTCATTGCATTTGTATACCACCTTTCTCCAGAGAGTGGAAGAAACAATCAAGGAAGCATTAACGTAAGCATAAAACAAATGCAATTTACAAATGCATTATGCAACAATTGTTCAACCACAGTGATTGTTGAGAGTGTGTTTTAGAAGGTTTCTTGAGGTTCAGCTAGTATTAAATTCATGTTAAATTAGCTTTTTGTTTAGAATACATTTTGGATAATACTTTAAAATTGTGTACTCTTTGTTCTACAAGAATGTGAACGTTTGTCTTCTGTTTTGTGGGTACTAATATAGCTTTTGCATTCTGTATTAGACAATTTCATGAAAGGGGAGGTTTCTAGGAATTTGGTTATTCCTGTTAGCAGAGTACAGTATTAGCTGCAAAACAACAAGAACATAGAAACATGGAGAAATGTTATCACTAACCGGATAAGCGAAGCGTCCAACCAGCAGGCGGAGTTATTCCGTATAGTGCGCGACCTAGCCGGATCTGGTCTGGATGATAGGCCTCCCCCTAGTTTTTCACCTGTCCAGGCCATCCAACAGGACCTCTCTCCTTTTTTGAACACAGTGAGTCGAGCAGAGATGTCCAGCGCTCCGTCTTGCCCGGTAACCCTTGACTCCTTTCAGCCTGTCACGCCTGATTCTGTGGCCAGAGTGCTTGACCGCTGTTGAGCCACCACCTCCTCCTTGGACCCTTGCCCGGCCTCGTTAATCAAAGCAGCCAGGCCGATAACAACAGAATGGGCCACTGCAATAATAAATGGGTCTTTCCTTGAGGGCAGGTTTCCCTCTGCCCTCAAGGAGACACTCATTAGGCCCATAAGAAAGAAATCTAATTTGGCGGCGGATGAAATTGGCAATTATAGGCCCATCGCCAATGTTTCTTTCATGAGCAAAGTGGTCGAGAGGGTGGTGGCTGACCAGCTTCAGGCACATCTAGATGAAACAGATGCCCTGCATCCATTTCAGTCAGGCTTCAGGCCGTGCCACGGTACAAAGACGGCATTGGTTGCTCTGTACGATGACTTGTTGAAGGAGGCCAACAGGAGTAAAATATCTTTGTTGGTCCTCCTCGACATCTCGGCAGCCTTCGATACCGTTGACCACAGTATCCTCCTGGGGAGGCTCTCTGAGTTGGGTATCGGT